TTACTTCGCATAACCTATATTTAAATAGTTCAGCTTAATTTGGTTATAATACAGTAACATTCCTACCTTCACAGTTCCATCAGGAATGAGGTTTCCTTGTTGTTGTTTTCTGTGTGAAACAGTTGACCGTGTTCTTGGTATCCAAACATCCAGGTAATTCATTCTCTGTCCACAGAATAGCAAGTCGAAGCCCGTTTCTTTCATTGAACTGCTTTTTTTTTTAGGTAATTCTTTATTAATTTAAATTTGAAGAGGCCATCTCCTGATGGTACTGGTCCAAGAAGTGTAAGAAACAGCAAGCATGCTGAACACACACATTTGGAAATGATATAGAAAGTAAATGGTCATTTTTCCATAAGTACAGTTTCATTTTGAAAGTTGAAACAAGATAACAACTGTAGCGTTAAATGTTGTAGATAAATCTGTGCCAATAATATCATTGTTTGGTAGTATGGGAACCATGTTTGTGTGTTCTTTAAAGGGATTGTTTAGTTGTGTTGATATTATATTCCAAGTTTGGAAAAACACATTAAGAGGTCTGTAGCAATCCTAGTGCTTTGTTCAGCTCCTTTGTGTTGAATTGGATCAGTTTAAATAAAGTGTAATCTTTTTGTTTCAGTTATGATAAAAAAAAATCACACTAAACAACTACAGATGTTTTATTAAAGATCTGGCTTCATTACATTCCTTTTTTTTCACCTGTAACTACGATTTTTTACAGGTTTTTGGCACATCTGTAAATCTATAGAGCAAACTTACCAAGTACCAAACAATTATAGCGTGAAGATCATTGGGTAGGGAAGAATTATTTCTGTATTATAGCAATAATATATTCTATTAGTGCTAACAATAAAGACCACCTTATGATACTATGTCTAAAAACACATTGTTTCTGAAGCAAATTATAAAAGTTTCTAACTTCCAGAACAGACTGATCACCATAACAATTGTTGTTTAAACAAATGGCTTATATAAATGGTGTTCCGACAACTACTGTTTGATGTATCCCTGCCGGCCACCTGAATACACACACCAGTCATATTTCCAACACAATCATACCCTTTCTGAAAAAAAACAAATAAAGTTCGGATCCAAATTTATCACGTATCTTTAAATCCTAAAAATAACTCGTATTTTAATTTGAGTTGGTTTACCATCGTCACTAGGCTTAGTTATTGTTGCGTATCTTACAATTTGGCTCACCTAATCCTTTTAGGGCGTGTCTTGGGTGATACGAGTGGTTATTGAATAAAACGGCACATTCTTCGCATCATTCATGTCTTCCTAACTTTTCAAAACTTCATTTTTTATTGTAAGGAATAAATAAGTAAAACAACCTGTATATCCCTTAGCAGTTCTTCTAACACAGGTTCATGGTTTCTTAGGAGTTCAATGAACTTGAGTGAAAATTCCTACCACCAGCTTGGCCTATTTTCATACACTTCTACTAAAGTTCTGCCAATATGAAAAACTACTTATCCAAACTACTGGATAGTTTACTTTCTTCAAAGCCAACAGTAACATTTGTTATAGTCGACTAGAAAAACAACCAGGTTCTTTGTAATTTTAGACATTCCCAAGCGAAAAGTATTAAAACTTCGTTTATTGGGGTCCATTTATACCTTACGGAAAGTGGCACGGACCCTGCTTTTAAACAAAACACTTTTAGTCTGCATTTACAACACAAAAATAAAATAGCTTTATCAAATTTTTAATTGCCGTTAACTAAATTAGCAAATCAGTTATTAGTATTATCAACCATTGTGGGCCTAATTTCCTCAGTTCTGACTTAGGCCTATCACTGTCAATACAATAATAATCTAGCAATTATGTAAATTCAATTTCTCAACATCACTAGGTCTATATATTTAGGCCTATTCGCAGCAGTTTCTAAGCCTAGGCCAAAATCATTGTGATAGTCAGCGAGAAAATTAGGCCTAAGCCAGTTTACCCAACACTTAGGAAAACGAACTAGTTTTCAATAAACTGTGGCCTTGGAATTATTTCCCTTTTTGTGGCACCACTTAGATATACTCGACTTTACATCATTATTTAAATTAAAAATTCATTCCACATATATTAACAAAGAACCAAGCCAAACGCAAATTAGGTTCCTGAGCTCTATACGTGAACACAAACATAACTTCGCTACTTTCCGGACTGCTGAGAATAACGATACATTATCGCGATGCATCTGTTGGCGTTTCAGACGAAATATTTATAAAAGCAGTCTAAGGTGTTTCTAATTTTAACTGGAAATAAACTTCTTAGATTGATTTTTTTATTTCTTTAACATCTTGGTTTTTTACTTTTTAAGAGTTTTTGTTTTACAATACTATTAAAACACTTTGGGTTCTCATAGAGAGGCTCCTTAACTCGAGGGCCGGGCGCTGTTACGCCCCCTATTACTTCGTTTGGTGTTAGTTAAGTTTATTTAAACTAATAATTTTTGTGTCATGCTTAAATTTCTTGTATCTATTATATTCCTTTACTTTTTAAGCACCTACAATGGTAAACAGAGGAATAAAATCTGAAAATAACAGGACTTCAACTTCCCCCTCCAACAAACTTAAATGCTACATAAAGTTCCGTCAAATACACTAGATAATGTTGTAGACATAGAGTAGACTGTTGAACACACACATACTGTTAATATTACAGTTTCACGCAATAATGTCAAGATACAGAAAGTGTGGCACAGGAATCAATGTGGCCAAAAAACTCTCTTTTATACTTACAAATTCACTATTTGTGATAATGAAATAGAAAGAATGAGTGGTACGTGTGTTTCATAACTCTATAAAACCTAGTGGTACTGTGTTTCATAACTCTGTAAGACCTAGTGGTACGTGTGTTTCATAACTCTGCAAGACCTAGTGGTACGTGTGTTTCATAACTCTGC